CTTGGCTTTGTGCTCAGTGTTCACACTTGGCAGGGCTTTGGGACCAAATGTGGTCCGGGGAAGGAACCACAGTCAGCTGCACGCAGGGCAAGCACCCTAATCCCGTTCTGCTTTACTACGATCACAGCTTCAACAACTACTAGCTTAACCTCAGGCTAACATTTTAATAAATATAAGAATTATTTGGGGCCAGAGAGATAAGACAGTGGGGAAAAAATAGTAATTTTAAAAAAGAGAGATTACAGTGGGCAGGGCCTTGCCTTGTACATAGTTAACCATGGTCCTGCTCCTGACACCATTTATGGTCCCTGAGCCCCTCCAGGAGTGGGCACTGTTGGATGCAACCCCATGCCCCATCAAAAATTTTGAAGCTGTAACATGTTTTGCATATAAACTTCCAGGTACTGATAACTTTTATAAGTTTTAGAGTGAAAACAATTTCAGAAAACAAAGGAAAAGGGGACAGTATGAAATTCCTAAATACCCAAGTTCTACAAGAGGCCTTTTGTTTTTAAATAAGCTCATTGAAATAAGTGAGATCTATCTCATCAGCATGGTTTCTGGCCCAACCAACATCCCTAGGAAAGAGCCATCAAAAAGTTTACTATAAGAACAACTGGAAAACAGCTAGAACAAAAACAAACTGGAAGGGGTTGGTGTTGATTTCAAGACTTATATACATAAAAGGGGTGAGATTAATTATGCTATAAAGTAACAAGATCAGCTTCTATTTCTAACTTCAAATACCATCTAAAGGTGTAAAAATGGGATACTGTCATTTTCAGAATTCTAAAAATGGGAGGGGAGATTAACAGTACAGCAACTCAGGTGCCCCACCCCCTGCCAAAGTCTAAAAATTTGGGTACTATTGGAAAAGAAAAGAAAAAGGAAATGAATGCTGAAATTTGTACAATATAAGGTCAGATCAAATTATTAAAAATTTATCTTCACAGGGGGTATAGTGCCGCCAGCAGGTCAAACTGTACCTGTGAGGCGAGTGTATCAGCAGCCCTATGGTGCCTTCAGACTTCCAGATACCCCAAAATTGCTGCTGTGCCTTTGGACCCCCCAAAAAACTTGGGGCAAAGTTTACCAAGAAAGTAAACGGCCAAAAGTTAGGTATGTGGGAAACAAACCCACAAAACAATTTCAGCTCAGCTATATAATCGGAGGCATGGCCTCTCTGGTTCCTGATTGAACTGCTTAATGGCCATGATCCCAGAGACTCAGAAACAAATCTCGAAACCTGCAGTAGGTTACTTGGTGCTGGGCCAACCCAGGTGGGAATAGGTTTCGTGACTTGGCCTGTTCCCCCTGGCGGCCCGGTGGCCACCATCCTCCAGAGGCTACTGGACAGTCAGGTTAGGGCCTGCAGTGACAGGACGGAGGGCCTCACGGGATGGGGGTGGAGCCGGTCCTGTCCTCCCTGTCCCAATGAGACCCCAAGTCATCGCCCACGAATGGCCTCTCTGGCTCCTGATCAAGCTGTTTAACAGCCATAATCCCAGAAACTCAGAAACAAGTCTCGAACCCCAGCGACTTTTGGCAGAAATGCGTCTGGACCCTGCAGTAGGTTACTGTCGCTGGGCCACCCCAGGGGGGAAAGGGTGCCGTCCCTTTGCCTGCTTCCCCCTTGGTGGCTCGGTGGCTGCCATCCTCCAGAGGCCACTGGACAGTCAGGTTTGGGCCCCCAGTGGCGAGACACATGGGGCCTCATGGGATGGGGGTGGAGCCGGGCCTGTCCTCCCCACCCCAACGAGACCCCAAGTCATCACCCACGAACTGCCTCTCTGGCTCCTGATCAAGCTACTAAACGGCCATGATCCCAGAGACTCAGAAACAAATCTTGAAACCCAGCGGCTTTTGGAGAAATGCGTCTGGACCCTGCAGTAGGTTACTGTCGCTGGGCCACCCCAGGGGGGAAAGGGTGCCGTCCCTTTGCCTGCTTCCCCCTGGAGGCTCGGTGGCCGTCATCCTCCAGAGGCCACTGGACAGTCAGGTTTGGGCCTGCAGTGACTAGACATTTTGGGCCTCACAGGATGGGGGTGGAGCCGGTCCTGTCCTCCCCACCCCAAATAGACCCCCCCAGTCATCGCCCCGAATGGCCTCGCTGGCTCCTGATCAAGCTGCTTAATGGCCATGATCCCAGAGACTCACTCAGAAACAAATCTTGAAACCCAGCGGCTTTTGGCAGAAATGTGTCCGGAACCCGCAGTAGGTTACTGTCACCGGGCCACCCCAGGCGGGAAAGGGTGCTGTCCCTCCGCCTGCTCCCCCTTGGTGGCTCGGTGGCTGCCATCCTCCAGAGGCCACTGGACAGTCAGGTTTGGGCCCCCAGTGGCGAGACACATGGGGCCTCATGGGATGGGGGTGGAGCCGGGCCTGTCCTCCCCACCCCAACGAGACCCCAAGTCATCACCCACGAACTGCCTCTCTGGCTCCTGATCAAGCTACTAAACGGCCATGATCCCAGAGACTCAGAAACAAATCTTGAAACCCAGCGGCTTTTGGAGAAATGGATCCGGACCCTGCAGTAGGTTACTGTCGCTGGGCCACCTCAGGGGGGAAAGGGTGTCGTCCCTTCACCTGCTTCCCCCTGGCAGCTCGGTGGCCGTCATCCTCCAGAGGTCACTGGACAGTCAGGTTTGGGCCTGCAGTGACTAGACATTTTGGGCCTCACAGGATGGGGGTGGAGCCGGTCCTGTCCTCCCCACCCCAACGAGACCCCAAGTCATCACCCACGAACGGCCTCTCTAGCTCCTGATCAAGCTGCTTAATGGCCATGATCCCAGAGACTCAGGAGCAAATCTCGGAACCCAGCAGGTTTTGGCAGAAATCCCTCCAGATTTAAGTATTAAAATTTCTGAATTTCAAAATCACGTGGCCACTACTGCAGCCACGCGACATCATATGTTATTCATAACCAGCAATAGAAAACAAATTGTCTACTGTTGCCTTTTCAGCAGATCTGAGTGTTGGGGTAAAATCTCAAATAATAATGGTGGGTCTGGTGTCAAAATACTGAATGTGATCAAAGTAGAGAGAGAGTAATGTGGAAATCATCTGCCCCACAGGTAGGGGGAGGGTTTGGGGTAGGGGTATACTGGGGCTGTTGGGGGTCAAGAATGGGTGAAGGTACTGGTGTTTCATCATAGGACCAAGACTTAGACCTGAAAGCTTTGTAACTGCTCTCATGGTTATCCAATAAATAAAATTATAAAAAATGAAAAAAATTAAAAAGTAAGGTGGAGTTCATGCACAATTCAATCAGCTAATCAGTGGGTTAATAAATAGCAGTGGCTTAATAAATACTCCTACATTAAAAAAAATTATCTTCACAAATTAAAGTCTACTATTTCAATGCAGCTGTTTCAAAATAGTACGGCATATTTACGGAACACAGGTCCAAACAAATTTGTTCTCCAAGAGCTATTTTTCAAAAAAACTGTCATAAAAATCTTAACTCACAAAAAGTCTAGATTCCAAGAACTCCAATTTATCTGATTTATTCCTGGCTCTGCATGGTTAGCCCTGTGGCATATGGCCTACTCTAGGATCTTTGTTCTCTTTTTATAAAAACAACAACAAGGGGCTGGAGCAATAGCACAGCAGGTAGGGCATTTGCCTTGCACTTGGCTGACCAGGGTTCGATTCCCAGCATCCCATATGTTCCCCTGAGCACCGCAGGAGTAATTTCTGAGCGTAGAGCCAGGAGTACCCCCTGTGCATTGCTGGGTGTGATCCAAAAAGAAAAAAAAAAAGAACCACAACAAAAACAAGTAATATTAGTAACTTCCTGAAAAATCTGCCTTCTGTTAAAGAACAGTTGGCTGGAGAGATTACAGCAGGTGCATGCAGAACTTCCTTTGCATAAAATAGACCCTAATTTGATCCTACCACAATATATGGTCCCCCATCCCATTCCCACCTCCACCACAGATCATTTACATGAACACAAAGCCATTAATAGCCCCTAAGCACTGCCAAGTGTGGGCCAAAAACAAACAGAAAGTGCCCCAAGATAATTTCAGCAAGGAGAAGGGAAAGGCTATTGTTAGTGGCAAGTAAACAACTATTTCAATATGCTGTAATGCTAACTACTATTTTAAACTTTAAAACGAAATGAACATTTTAGAGTCATATGGTAGTACAAGAGGTAAAGCACTTGTTTTGCATTAACACCAGTTCTATCTCCAACACCTCAAAAGCGTCAATTCTGGGACCAGAGAAATAGTATAATGAGTAAGGCACTTGCCTTGCAAGTGGCTGACATGGGATCAGTCCCCAGCACCCCATATGGTCTCCCTATCCTTTTAAGAATAAGCCTTAAGTACAGAGTCAGGAATAAGCCCTGAGCAAAACCAAGTATACCTCCCCACCTCCTCAAAGTACCACCAGGAGTGGTGTCATGAACCTGCCTGCTAACTGTACTTTCTGGTCCCAGTGCTGCAAAATTCTTATCACTCCTCAAGCTTCAGTAAAGTGACATTTCAAGGCTTTGACTGAAAAATACTAGCTTTTTAATTGTAGAGAATTTTAAAAGGAAAAAAATAAACTCTTGGCAGGGGGGGCAACAGAGAGAGGGTGTCACACCAGCAGTGCTCAGGGAACCATCATGTGGTATATGGAATGAATCAGGGTTGGCTTAGTACAGTTAAGTGCTTATCCCCTGTATTATCTCTCTGGCTCAAACTCCAATTTTTTAAGTATTATAGTAAGTAAAACAATCTATAAGAAAGTGTTGGAAAAAAGGTCAAAAGTAATATTCAACTTATCTGTTTAGAATTTTAACGCTTTGGGCTTTACTTCAAATAGGAAGTAAATGGTTTAGCATGTTGAATAATGGAAGGCTGAAAAGTGACCAGGTATGAAATAATTTCAACGTAATACAAAAAAGTATCTTGCAGAAATATTAAACCCTTGGATTGTAATTACATTTGTGGGGGAAATAAACAGGAAAGTCTGGCTAAAAAGGCAAAGAAAGATGAAGGGCTGAGTACCTTTGTTGACGATGGTGGAGTAGGAAAATTAAGCCAGGCTGGTGCAAAGTCATGCTGCGCCATTTAGGTCCAGTCTCTCCGACTCAATGAAACAGGCTTCAACACCTCATGGCAAGTCCCTGTCATATAAAAATATTAAAGGAATTAGACCTGTAGTTCCTGACAAATACCTTTTACAGCTTTAACTCCTTTAAATTACAACAATCTTATAATATTCTGCATATCATGAGTTTCTTCTAGAAAAGGCAAAAATACAACTATCATCTATTTCAAACTGAATATTCTTGATTTCTAGGTTCCTAGTTGGCAGTTTGTCCCAACTAGGCAGCAAAATGACTTTTTTTGTTTTGGGCCCACACAGATATGCTCCGGTGTTATTCCTGGCTCTGAACTCAAGGATGACTTCTGGTGGGCTCAAGGGAGTACTGAGGATCAAACCCAGAAAGGCTATTGGCAAGTCAAGAGCCTTACCCACTGTACTTTCTTCTCTCCCGCCCTGAAATTAACTTTTAAATTTTCTTTTTTTCCCAGTGGCTACTTTTATGGTTGCAGTGATAGCACTTTGCAGAACAAATACAAGTATGCCTAATCAAAATAAACTACATAAAACCTCAGGAACTGTGAGATCTAATTTTACTATTATCTTGTATTAGATCTTGGAAGTCTTCTAAAATAGAAGTGTAAGATTAAGTTTTATAGGATTATATAAAGGGTTATTATCTACTGTGGAACACTACATACTACTCTGCAACACAAACAGGATGTTGGTATTTCAAAAACATTTTGAGAACTTGGAATATAGTCACCATAATTTGACAGGAATAAAAATATTCAAAGTTTGTACCAAATAAAAATTTACAAGAACTCCCCTGCCCCCAATTATCTAAAATAGCAATGGCTGAAGTTATAAACTAAAAACTATTTCCAAGATGCACACCAAAAATAACCTGTTTTTTTCTGAAATGTTTTTATATATTATAATTTAAATACACTCTAAGGAATAAAATATAAGTAGCTGGGGGGAGTTAAGAATAGCAGTTAATGTTAGGATATTTATACAAATGTATGAAGCAAATCAGATTATGCCACCCCCCCCCTTTGCCTGGGCCAAGGGAAAACAGACTTATGACTTAATTTTAAGTCAAAAACAAGAGTTCCTGACCTGCTTTATCTATCTTAAAAGCAGAACCTCATCAAAAAATTTTCACTAAAACAAAAGCTTTTGTCTAACATTTATAAAACATCATCTGCTTCTTCCATTGACACTTCCCTTTTCCAGTAGTGGGGTGGTTAGCATATGCAGATAAACTTATTTCTCTTGTTAATTTGTCTTATTTCTCTTGTTAATTTACCTTTTGTCAGTCTAATTTAGATCCCAGGAAGGGGGGGGGGGGAGGGAGAAAGCTAGTTTAGAATGAAATAGAACTTGTATTTACAAGTTAAAGGGCAAATAAAAGCTTCAAAAGCTCCAATCTATTCAATTTCTTTTCACTGTGTAATCTGATTACATTCATTGTAATAAGCAGCCCCAGCAATTATATACAGAAATTATAATAACCTTCCCTAACCCTCAGAATACAACCACATTTGGAAATAAGTTCTTCAAGTGCAAAGAGGTGATTGACTTAAATTAATTTCTTATAGTTGACTATTTCGGAGGCTGGAGCAATAGCACAGCGGGTAGGGCATTTGTGGGTTCAATTCCCAGCATCCCATATGGTCCCCTGAGCACTACTACCAGGGGTAATTCCTGAGCGCAGAGCCAGGAGTATCCCCTGTGCATCGCCAAAAAGAAAAAAAAAAAGTTGATCCTATTTTAACTGTGCTGGGACTGATACAAGATAAACAGGTTGAAGTAGTGTGTGCTTAACTACAAGCAAGTCAAAGACAGAGGTATTGGAGGTAACTTGGAAGCATCCGAGGCTTCCAAATTCCAACTTAGAGAATTAAGCCACCCTACCTGCAACATTTTATTATGGCTGCCCTAGCAAACTAGTTAACAATAAAACATACTGAAATGATTTTCATTTATACATGATATGTATATAGTGGAAGATGAAGATTTTAGTAATATAAAAATAGATGAAAGTAGGACAGTGAGAGGTCACAGCTCTAGTAACACCCCAGGGATTCTATCTTTTTAGGAATCTACCTGATTCAAGCCAGACACCCAGGTTCAATCCCCGGCACCAGATATAGTCTCCAAGCATTGCTGAGTGTGACCTCGAAGGTCTACTGGGAGTAGCTCCAAATAAAGATCTGAAGTTGTTCAAGACCTCTGCTTTATGCACATGAAAATAAAATTGAGTATTACTAAAGTTATAAGAAAAAAAAGTATTACTAAAGTTATAAGGAAAAAATGCTACTTGAAGAACTTCAAAACGTATAACGAACTGGACTTTATTATCTATGAATATCTGTATTATTTTCCTCAAAAAACTGAAGTTCATTCAATGGGATCCTAAAATTTTATAGCTAATATTGACGAACTGGGATAAAACCTAATTCAAACCATAGTTTCTTGAACAGGTAACCCCACCACCCCCAAACTATTTAACAAAGAAGAAAGAGGGCCCCAGAGGAAAGTCTGGCATCTAACATCAGTAAAGCTGAGTTACAAATACAGCAAAGTTCCTCTGGTTAAATCAATTTTGTTTTCAGGTCACTTTCTAAAAAACATAAAAATTCCTTTTCCAAGGATCCATAGATAATACTAAGGACTTACAGCAATTGTAAAAAAAGAATGTAGGAGGAGGACAAATTCCTTTATCAGAAAAGTTATAAGCAAATTATCAGGAACATTACCCTACTTCTTTAAGCTAAAATAATAAAATGTACTTATTGCAATGTGGAAAATGCAGTATGAAAAGATACAAGCTTTTAAAGTGGGGAAGAAATGGATGGAGAGAGAATACAGGGATTAAGGTGCTTGCCTTGATACAGACTGGTTCCATTCCCCAGCACTACACATGGTTTGCCATCATGTCAGTCTGCCCCACATACCACCACACCACACACACACACACACACACACACACACACACACACACACACACAATCCATGAGCAATAGCCAGAAGTAAACCCTGAGCACTACCAGGTTGAAGCCCCAAAATTGTTTTTAAAAATAAAAGGGCCACAGCAATAGTAGAGTGATTAGGGCATTTGTCTTGCACACATCGGACCGAAGTTCAATCCCTGGTATCCCATATGGTCCCTCCAAGCACCACCAGAAGTAATTCGTGAGCACAGAGCCAGGAGTAACTCCTGAGCACTGCCAAGTGTGACTCCAAAAAGCAAAGGGCAGGTGCACATGCTTTTGCACCTGGGAGACAAAGATTCAATACCAGGCACCAAACCATCCCCTGGAGCACCACAGGGAACAATCTCAGAGCAACACACAGGAAGCAGCACCTATAGCACTGTCAGTGTGGTTTATTGTTTTTTGTTTTTTAAAATAAGTCACGGTCACGGTCCTCCCATTGTTCATCTTGTTCATCGATTTGCTCGAGCGGGCCCAGTAACGTCTCCATCGTGAGACTTCTTGTTACTGTGTCTGGCATATCGAATATGTCACGGGTAGCTTGCCAGGCCCTGCCGTGCGGGCGAGATACTCTCGGTAGCTTGCCGGGCTCTCCGAGAGGGGCAGAGGAATCGAACTCGGGTTGGCCATGTTGGCTGCGTGCAAGGCAAACGCCCTACCGCTGTGATAAGTAATGACAAGAAAAACAAACATGCACAGCTTGGGTAAATAATATCTCCATGATGTAAAATTTGTCTTAAACAGAATCAATAATAACTGAGTGGGGTCCAGGGATAGTGCAGCTGCAAAAAATGCTTTCTTAGAAACATGAAACTGAGAGCTTAATTCTCAGTACTACTACAGCATACAGAGGGTAGTCCCAGCAGCTCTGCTGTTTGACACAGCTAAGTGTTTGCAAGTTCCTTAACTAAAAGTTTAAGAATCCTGTCCAGGGCCACAACTACAAGTGCCACTACTACAACCAATCATGTGTGGAACCCCAGTCATCTGAAAAATAAAATGGGAGAGAAAGGAATGGGAGTTTAAATTAAAACGTTGCTAATGGGGCCTAGTACAGTGTAGTGTGTAGGGCACAAGCAGCTGGCTGACCCAAGTCCAATTCCCTGCATCCCATATGGTCCCCTGAGCCCTACCAGTAGTGATCCCTGAACGCAGAACCAGAAGCCATAGGGAAAAAAAGAAAAAGATTTAACAAAACTCTAGGGCCAAGTTTCCAAAAAGTTTTGTCTGTTAACTTCGGACTGATAATCAATGGCCAATGAAGTAATCATTGAATGACTGAAGTTTACATCCATGTTTGGGGCGGGAGAGCTTTAACAAAGCATTTAAAGCAAATGTCTTGTATGCAGCTAAACCCTGTTTGATGCCTGGCACCTTCTAGTCCCCCAACTACTGCCAAGAGTGACCTTTAAGCAGCCCTGGGAGTAGGCCCAAATACCCTGCTTTCCCAAAATGTATGTCAATGAGGGGGTTCAGAGAGCTTCAAGGGGCCCTGGGTAGAAAGCTCAAAAGTCTGAGCACATACTCTGCCTATGCGAAGCCTGGATTCAATCCCTAGCATGGTCCACTGGGAGTGATGCCTAAGCACTGTGCCACAACTAGGTGCCCTGCATTACCAAAAAGAGCCCAAGTTCCACAGCAACAGAAACTACTACAGGGAGAACCTTCCAGACCTTAACCTAGATGGCTTTCCATTCGGCTATTCATATGTCCCTCTCTAATAAACAATAACGCACAGCAATAAGTTCTTTTCTTGTGCTGGGCAAGAATCTCCAGTTGGCAAACTACTGGAACACAAGCGAGGGAAACCTAAAACCCTACTTCAGAGATGGGTATCTGAAGTAGGGTAAGAAGAAGTATCATAAGGAACTGAGTCCTACACAGGATTCCTTCCAAAAATTAGTGTCAGAAAACAGACTCAAGTGAAGGATACCAGTTGAATATCCACAGAAAATCGGAGAACTAAACATACAACACTAAAATTGAGCAATTACTCAAAATACAGATGATCAAAGTAAGGAGCAGCAGGAGCACTAACACCACAGAGATACCTACTTAGCTTTTCAGAGTACTGCAA